GACCATTCCCCGAGTCTAGAGCTTTTGTTTAATGTATAAAAGATTTTATTTTATTCTTGATCGTTATTCCTGCACCTCTACAACAACAAAATACCTCTTAAGTTTTCACTGTATTTTTCACCACAATTTTATTTCATAGAGTCAAGGAATGGTTTGGGGTGGAAAGAACCTTAAAGATCATCTTGTTCCAAGTCCCTGCCATGTGCAGAGACACCTCCCACTAGACTAGGTTGCTCTAAGCCCTATCCAACCTGGTCTTGAACACTTCCAGGGATGGGGTAGCCACAGTTTCTCTGGGCAACCTGTGCCAGGGCCTCACCACCCTCAGAGTAAAGAAATTCTTTCTAATATCTAATATAAAATTCTCCTCTTTTAGTTTAAAACCATTGTCCTATTACTATCTATCTGTGTACAAAATCTCTCTCCCTCCTTTTTATAAGCCCCTCTTAGGTACTAGAAGAGGGTCTAAGGTCTCCCCAGTCTTCTTTTCTCCAGGTTGAACATCTCCAACTCTCTCAGTTTGTCTCCATAGCAGAGGTGCTCCAGTCCTCAGATCATCTTTGTACCCCTCCTCTGAACCTGCTCTAACAGTTCCATGTCTTTCTTGTGCTGAGATCCCCATCTGTAGAGACTGGTTACCTTAATTCCTATTGATACCTGCAGCTAAGACCATGATCCTTTTATCCGTGTGTCCAGTACCATCTGAAGTGTGTTATTTGATTCAAGGCATCAAGACCAGCCTGGCAAATATGAATCCAGATTGGCAAGAGGCATCCATACTTCCACAGCTGAGTAGGATGTTCCAAAGCACCTAAAAGGATACTAGATATTCATGTTCAGGCAAGTGAAGCCCATCGTGTGGGCATGTTTTAGTTGTCTGGACAAAGATGTTTAAAGCCTTTTGAAACATTCATGGGTGTGACTGCTGGCTCAAAGGACAGCCCAGACCTGTGTCTATCTGCCAGCCCAGTGGAGATGTCTCAGATTCCCTAAGGCATCTAGAGCTGCACAGTTGACCAAAAGTAAGTTTCTACTTAAAGCTGATTTAACTTATCCATTAGACCGCATTAACCACAATCTCTGGGACCCATCCATTTACCTAGACATGGGCATTTAGTATCCTTTGGAATGGGTAAGTTCTGAAGTTCTCCCGTAACTCCCATCTGTGACAGACCCTGTGAGAGATGAGGTACCAGAGAAGATGCCTAAACTCAGGCAGTTGATTCAAGTCTTAATTTCTGTTCCCTGCAGAGAGCAGCAGCACAGATTTACAGATACATTACACCAATACAAAATTATCTGAGCCTGGAACTTGGCAAGTTTGGAGCAGGGTATTTTTCCATGGTTTCCTGAGTACTGATCCCAGGTTTCTAATCACAGAATAATCTTTTATCATTTTGATAATGTGATTCTATATTTTAAAGCAAAGCCCCTTTTTTGTTTGTTTGTTTTTGTTTACTTTTTTTGTTGTTGTTGTTTTGAAGGAGTCTGATGTTGATGAAGAGATTTCTTATTCAATGCTTGATAACATCATAAAAATATCTTTTTGGAGAGATGAAGAAGAATCTTTTCCGTGGGAGTTTTGAAATCAAGATAACTTAAGTTTTGTTATATTAAATGTAAATGGATCCCCGTTAACCACATATGTCAAACATCCCAAGTTTTTTTTTCTTCAAAAGTTATGTATTACTTTTGCTCAGAGGCAATACTAGAAATAAATACACTGCTGTCTGACTGGTGATTTCAGTAAAAGACCTACTGGTCAAGACAACTTTGTGATCTTCAGGCCCTTATCCTGTTGTGTACTTCCAGGAAAGCAATTTTAAAATCTGTGATTTCTTTTGCTGTGATTTGTTCTGCATAAACCACATCTCCATTAAATTTAGTGGAGTTGTGAAGTAGGTTGGATTGGTTTCATAATGTAGAGGTCTGTACTGCAGAGCTATATTAGGTTTGACTCTCTTTTGTCCCCTAGTAAATTAAAGGAAAAAAGAGATTATACCTGGGTAAAATAAAGCTTAACTAAAATACAGCTTAAATTCTAATCAAGTAGAATTCTAATCGAGTGACATTTCTTCTTAAAAATAGAAAATTATTCATAACTAGCTGATTTGGAGATATTTTTACTGCAGAAGTCTACAGTATGGACACCTGAACGCCCTTCTCACCCTTCCATGGGTGAGAATCTGTTGCAGGTTTTTCTGCACATCATTAACAACACACATTTTTCATAATTCATTTATTACAATGACAAGGCCTTGTTAACTAAAAAAAGTGAATTTTTTGCTTAGACAGATGTTAACCTCCAGGTGTGCAAGCTTTTTTACAAGGAGGGCTGCATGAATTCTCCTGGAATATCAACTGCACAGACTATTTAAGTAACATTACATCATTGGATATATTGGTCAAACAGAAAGATAAAACATGACTACCCCCAATCAATAGGAATGCTTTACATAATTTTATGAAGCTTGAATTATGGATGTAGTGCCTGGGATCAAAGCAAACTCTATATTTTATGTCTGTGGTGTAAACACTGATGTCCAGCATGATGCTTTTGGTAAGCCCAAAGGGATTAGCTCAAGAACAGTCACAGTTTACTCATGTTTTGTGCAATAAATCCACATGATACAACAATCTACATGAGATACTCTTTGCTTGAGACAAATCATGAGAGCCCTTCTTGGCATCCAACTTGAGACTTGAAGGGTTTGAGATAACAACAGATTTGATTCCAGTGTGCAAGATGGAATTTATCACTGTTACTGCTGTTTAGCTCTTAATTGTCAGGCCTAGGAGATATAAGATAGCAGGAGGTGCTGCACAGTATGCCAGAGCCACAGCAGTATCAAGAATCTCTCCAGGAAGTGTCAAAGTATGGCATAGATAGAAAAGATTCATCACAAAAGTAGGTTCTCTGCTTGCATCTCCCATCTTCTTAGGAGACAACCTGCCAAAATTTATAATCATGTTAAACCCTACTTGTGTGGAGCACATCCCTTCACTCTTAGCTAGACCTTATCAGCAGTATATCATCCAGTATTTCATCTGGGGTCCCCAGCAAAGGCAGGACATTGACCTGTTGGAGTGATTCCAGAGGAGGTCACCAAGATGACAGAGGGATGGAGCAGCTCTGCTGTGAGGAAAGGCTGGGGGAATTGGGATTGATTGACCTGGAGAAGAGGAGGCTCTAGGGTGATCTAACTGTGGCCTTCCAGTACCTGAAGGCAACCCACAAGAAACATGGAGAGAGAGAATTTACAAGGGCTTGGAGTGACAGGACAAGGGGGAATGGATTCAAACTAAAAGAGAGTAGGTTTTGATTAGATATTAGGAAGAAATTCTTGACTGAGGGTGGGGAGGCCCTGGCACAGGTTGCCCAAAGAAGCTGTGGCTGCTCCATCCTGGAAGTGTTCAGGGCCAGGCTGGACGGGGCTTGGAGCAACCTGGTCTATTGTAAGGTGTCCCTGCCCATGGCAGGGGATTGGAACAAGATGTGCTTTAAGGTCCCTTCAAACCCAGGCCATGAATCTATATCCTTCCATTAATGGCACCATTCATATGACTGGGATGAGATGCATCTGGCCAAGAAAAACATTTCAGTAGGTCAGACATTTGTACCTTAAAGATACCTCCTTCTCTCTGATGTCTATTAAAGAATCCCAGGGCAACTAAATCAGGTGTTATCGTGTGTACTGTAGATATCTTAAGCTCAATAAAATGAACCTTACCCTCGAGGACTCTTGACTTTTGTCAAAATTATGTCACAAGTAACCTCATTTTCAAAAAATGTCTAGAGATTTTAGAAGCCTCTTCTGTTGAAAGCCCAGCTGAGACCATGGACCACAGACTGTCAGATGAAGTTACTTAGCTTGTTGTTTTTCAAAGAAAAATCAAATGTTCCTTGGTAATTTCTGGCTGATGTTCATTTAATCTATTTTAAAGACTGAAGATTGTAATCTTTTACTCAAAGATGTTTCTTAACATCTAGCCACAACTGAGTTTTAGTGCTTAATCTCAGGTTCACAATATTAAGCAGAAAATTGAGGTGTTTTTTTAGTAGCAACAGTCAAAGGAAAAAAAAGCAATATAATTTCAAAATAGATCTATATTAACCATACTTTTCTGGGGAAATAAATAGGCTTGTTTTTCATCTTCTAATTAATATAGACAAATGATACAAAACAAGCCTTGAAAATCAGAATTAAACTGTCTGTGGAGACTTATTGTATGGGAGATATAGTTTCTCTTGTTGATTTATGGACTCATTTGCAAAATCTATAACATATGTTGACTTCTAACATTTACTGACTGTTTTGTTTTATCTTTCTATGTTCAGTTGATACTTCTGAATCAGCACTACTGCAAAGGTAAATCATAGAATCACAGAATAGTTTGAGTTGGAAGGGACCTTAAAGTTCATCCAGTTCCACCCTCTGCCATGGGGAGAGACACCTTCCACTATCCCAGGTTTCTCCAAGCCCTGGCCAGCCTGGCTTTGGACACTTCCAGGGATGGGGCAAATGTTACCCTTGTATATGTGTCACTCTCTCTTACCTGGAGACCTTTACTAAGAGTTGGAGCCTCCTGTTCTAGCAAAGGCTAAGAAGTCAATGCCACCCTCAGTTGCTGTCTTGGGAAATTCCAATAACCAGCAGGTCCTGGAATATCTTCTTCAGACCAGCTTGGGTTAGATGGGTGACTGAATTAAATTTAACATAATTGATGGACAGAAGAGATGGATGAAATAATCATGGAATAGACAAAGCCATCAGCTTCTTCTGCCATCTCCCTGATAGTCTGATAGTCCAGACACGCAGATCCACTGAGCTGCAAGTCCTCCTCTCCCCATCCAGCTGATGTCCCGAGGCAACCACTGTGCCCATGTTAGACAAACCTCCCATTGCAAATGCATAATTTTCTCATCTGGGTCATATGAATAATAACAGAGACAGGTCTTTTTTTTTTTTTTTTTTTTTTTTTTATTTGATGTTGCTTTCAATCTGGTGTTATTTCAGCATTAAATGGCTGAATTCACTGGCATCCACCGAGCTTTGTAACTCCTTGCAAACCAACCATATGTCAGGGCTCTGCTGTAGCAAATTTAAGAGTCTGCCATTTGACTTGGAGATTTTTGCTTCCTCTTGGTTCAGACTTGAGCTGCAGTTCCTATAAATCCTGTGAATAGAAGAAAATTCCTTTCTCAATTCAATTCCACAAACTAAATTGACTTCTCTTTTTGTAAAATTTTCTTCCACAACTGACATATTTGACTATACTTTTATTCCTTTCTTTAGGAGGAACGGGTATCCTCCACTTCTTTTAGCTTGTCCTGAATTATTTATGACAAAGTAAGAAAACCTGTTAAAACAGAAAAGAGCAGGCTCTAAAGAATAAGAAAGTTGTCAACACTTTGGCCTTCACTAGCTCAGGGAAAGACCTGATGCCTCACACTTTCATGGAAATGATGTTAATGAAGAAACAGAGTAGGGAGTGAGAAAGAGAAGCGAAGAATGTGGTTTCTGGGCCTATATTTTGTAAAAATTTGGACTCGTGCAAATTTGTTAATTGAGGCAATTGATTTTTGCCTGAAAATGGTAGCAATGTCTAATTCATTACAGCCTAAAATAACATCCTTTGGGCTAAACAGGGTCATTTCATTTGTAACCTTTTAGTGATGTATTAACAATTTGAAAGCGTTTTGGTGCATATCTTAAAAAGTACCACATTAACAGGAACGGGCCTGGAGAAAGAAAAAAAATGAAGAAGTTCCATACGCGCACACACACACACACACACACACACAGAGTACACATGGCCTCCAGCCCCTGTCCTTCCTCTTCTGCAGCATTTTAAGGTCTGTGTTTAATATTGCCAAGCCTACTTGAGTGATAAATGCAACTGTATAAAAATTACTTATTACAATCTGTCATGTTGCCTCACTCACATGGCAGGGCTGCAGGCACTGTACATAAAGCTCGAATCTCCACCTTGACAGCATCGGCAGCGCTGGCTTTAAAATAAAATGCTTTCAGTCATGAATACAAAACATAATTTACCTTTTCATAATACTTCAGTTTGGAAACACTTTGGAAAGCTCATGTTACCGTCAAACCTTTACCTGAGTTGTGCCAGCACCCAGTTAATTCCGAGTTGTCAATTTACCTCAGCGCTGCTTTCCATCACTCAGCCTTTGAAGAAACATTAAGCTGTTCAAATTGCCATCCCCTTAATTTTTTTTTTTTAAAGTTATATTTATCCTCAGTTCTTTGGCGGTGAGTAGCTGACACATTAGGATTATTCCAAGCATTAAATTACAATTTGGGAGAGTGCCTGCTTGCTATGTTTCTTTTTCAGAATCCTCCTGACTTGCTGTGTGTTCACGGCATCGAAAAATATTCCCGACTCCCATCCCCTGCTTTCCCCCCGCACCTTTTCCGTAGAGTCCAGTTACACAATTCCCCTTGAATTGCTCCTCCCTTCCAACGTCTGGTCGAGATCAGAGGTTTAATTCCTTGCTGTGGTAGCCCAGCCACCCTTTTTCTCCTGCATTAATACTGTACTGATGCTTAAACATAAAAGCTCAGTGTAAGCTGTGAATGTCAGCGAGATGGAAATTGGAAGTGAAGGTTCCAGGGAGCCTGGTCGGGTAACAAGTGATGCGTTGTGACTGTTTTTATAGTTGGTCATGATGCATACAGTATGTGAAGTTCCCATCTGTACTGGTGTCTGCCCACCAGCCACCCTGCCACATTCACAAAAGTGGCTCCAGCACCGAGCGCAATAGGAACAGAACTGCAGATGCCTCCCTTTAGCCCAAATTCCTTTTGACAATGTTCACATCCAGTTAGGGCCCAAAGTGCTTGTACTTGTCAGGAGGGATAAGGAGTGAGGAAAGTAGTCCTTTTTCAAAAGCGAAACAGAATCGCCAAAGGAAATATTTTCTCTTCTTCTCCCCCTCCTTTCCCTCTTCAGCTGCCCCTGCCTTTGCAACTCCCTGTCCTCCCCTCCTTCCTCCACAGATGCAATGTCCAAAAAAACAAAAGGAAAAAAAAGAGAAAAAAATAATTATATTGGCATCTCTGATACAGCTCTACAGCAATTGTCTTTTTTCTTTTTCTCTAGCAATTGGTGGAGAAAGAGAATACAACTGGGAGAGAGGCAGGGAGGGAAGATTTTGGATTTGACAGGGCTGACTACAACAGCCCACAGGAGACATATCATGCCCATGAGCTCTGGGATTCAGCTACAGGGGGATTTGCTGTCCCTAGTGGGTTGGTTTGCTGGCTGACAGGAATGGGTGCATTTCCTATGCTATTTGAAGCTATTTTGATTCCACCCATACAGATATCACTTGGTTAGCAACAAAATCCATTTCCCTTTATATTCTCACCCTTGCTTTTTCTTTTTTCTTTCTTTTGATTTTAATTTATGGATCATTTAAGGAATAAAGGCTATGATACTTCTGTTCATGACAGAGTCAGAACTCAAAGGTTTCCTGGTTCTCACACCTGATGACAGGTCTGTGATTCTCAGCTTGCTCTGAGCACAGCCCTGCAACTCAGTTTCCACACCTGTAAAAGAGCAGAATAATGCACAACTCTTTTGGTAGAGAGCTCTGAGAGATGGGATCCTCAGCCTTTACTGGGAGAATTTCTGGTGATTGATGCATTAGACAGCACAGCAGGTTTCAGAATAATGGAATGGTTTGGATTGGAGGGGACCTTAAAGTTCATCCAGTTCCACCCCCTGCCATGGGCAGGGGCACCTTACAGTAGACCAGGTTGCTCCAAGCCTCATTCAACCTGGCCTTGAACACTTCTAGGGAGACACATTCACATCTTCTCTGGGCAATCTGTGCCAGGGCCTCACCACCCTCACAGCCAAGGATTTCTTCCAAATATCCAAGTCTATTCTCTTTCAGTGTGAGACTGTTGCCCCTTGTCCTGTCACTTCATGCCCTTGTCCAAAGTCCCTCTCCAGCTCTCTTGGAGCCCTTTTAGGTACTGGAAGGCTTTAAGATATTAATAAGTGTTTATAATCAAACAAGTGTTGACAGCTGTGACATCTCCACAGTACTCATCTTGCAAAGTTCCCTCACCTCAACCCAGTGCTCTCACCTGAGCATACCTGATGTAAAAGAAACTCCACCCAGTAAGTCCAGATAACTTGCAGAGATCCTTTCCAACCTATTCCTACTTCAGTAGAAAACTTGACCCTGAGGAAGGATGATGACTTTCCTGTTATTTTATCCCTTGCCCTGGGTAGCTGCAGTGCAGCCTCTGGAATTTCTGGCACGTGGGACAGCAAAGAACACGTTTATGGGCACTGCACGTTCTGAAAAAGCATTCAAGCAAAGTAGGCTCAGCTCAACTTTCTGTCACTGCTGGTTCCTGAAAATTCAGTTGTGTTTTCCTGGTTCTTCAGGAAGAAATGCAGTGTTGCACAAGACAGCTGAGGGGTTGCATCCGGACTGTTGACATAGTGTAGCGACATGACTGTAAACCTGGAGAACAGCCAGAGGGAATGAAAAGGGGAGGAGTTCCCCCCAACCACCCAACCACCCCAAAACAATCCCAAACAACCTAAATCCCCAAACAACCTAAATCCCCAAACAATCCAAAACAATTTTAAGATCTGGAAGACAGTTACGAAGAAACTGGCTTTCCAGTAGTCCTGAAGCCCTGGATTTTGTTCCTGGAATAGCTGAATGTGCTTTTCCTACGCATTCTCCTCATCTCGTATTTGATCGGACCCATCTGGCCATCTCACAGTCCTAAAGGGGAAACAGAAAATTTCAGGGAGGGCAGAAAACAGCAACTTGTAACAGTATCCAGGCTTCATGCCTTGCTGAATCCATATTTAGTCTCAACGTCTACAGGGATGCTCCATGCAGGCTTTTATTCCACTTTGCAGAACAGCCATCTGATGGGGGGAGTGAGGCTGATTTATCACCAAGGGATTCAAAGGGAAATGGGGCTGCAGAACAGCAGTGTGAACTGGTATTACACAAGCAACCTAAAAATAAAGGGAGAAGAAAAAATAGAACAGTTTAATGGGATTAGAATAACTGACATCTTATCTTCCATCTTGATAAACAAACAAGAGTTCAGCCATCTCTTTCCAAAGTTTAATGCAGCTAAATGCTATTTTATTTTTTTTTTTGGGGGATAGTACAAAACCAACCCAGGCAAATCCATACCACACTCACAAAACTGTCATCATAAGTTTTTCCTTCATTGGGAGAACAGTCATTCCAATGCTGAGACACTCTGGGATTTCACTATGTGGAAACGATGGCACAGTCAGCTCAGTCACTGGGATTTGGATGAGATTTAGTTAACAGTTTTCCCTCTTTCTCTGCAGTTCACTGAAGGAAAGGGTTTATGGTAAATGGAGCTGGAGATGATCACTGGAAATTCTCTGAGGTCTTATCTACAACCTTAGTTTCTAAAATGATAAATACTCAAGATCAGTCCACTGCTTCTCACACATAAATAAAGTTTCAAAAAAGGAGATGATCTTGTATTGAAATATTGAATTAAAACTCCAGTGGCTCCTTCCTAGACTCCCTATGCAATCTCAGGAAAGTAATTTAGGTCCAGCTCTCTTCAAGTTTGAGATATACTCGAGAATTATTTACTGAGCTTCCTTCTACATACAGTGGGAGAGGTAAGAACCAAGGGGTGGAAATAAAGGAATATGGGAGGATCTGTTCTCCCCTTCAGAAGATGCTGGATAAAGAGTTCTTGGTGTACTCCCACAGTTACTTGCAATCATCCCTGGACAGAACAAACACAGAAAAGAGTTGTACTGTCCCTCTTCTACTGTTGGCACCCCACTCCCTGGTGCTGGAGTAAGTTCTGCTGCAGACACTTCATGATATGGTCTCATAGAATCACAAAATGTTTGGTTGGAAGGAAACTCAAAGCTCACCTAGTTGCACCTTCCTGCCATGGACAAGGACACCTTCCACCAGACCAGGTTGCTCCATACAGCATCCAACGTGGCCCTGAGCACTTCCAGGGATGGGGCAGCCTCAGCTTCTCTGGGCAACCTGTGCCAGGGACTCACCACCCTCACAAGGAAGAATTTCTTTCTAATATCTAACTTAAATCTCTCTTCTTTGAGTTAAAAAACGTTCCTCTTTGTCCTGTCACTGCATAACCTTGTCAAAAGTCCAGCTCCAGCCTTCTTGTAGACTCCCTATTTGATCTCTTTATACGAGAACCTGAAAAATACTGTATTTGTCCTGATCAGATTTCAGGTGTGATTTCTGAGCACTAGTGCCAGCACAAGAGGTGTGACAGACTTGGAATACCCCTTTGTGGCACCAACCAAACGTCCAGAGATATTAAAGTGCAGGTAAAACCTTGATAGTTTTGCTCTAAAGTATCATTTTAGGTGGCTCATTGCATGTGAGATGAATCCCACCTGTAGACTTAAATCTATGCTGGGTACTGAAGTGTTGCCCTAAAGATCCACAGATGAGCTCACCGAGGATTGGGAATCAGGACTATACTTCATTAAATATCTTGTTTCTGTCTAGGTAATAATGTAGCTGAAATAATATTTATTTCAAGTTAAGGTGTACTCAGGGCTCGCTGTGTTGGATGCCCTGCAGTCAGGCTGGTGGTATCCCCATTTTCCCTCACTCTTCCTGAGCCTGCAGGTGAAACACGACTAGGATACTTTCCCTGGCTCTGTTGTCACTTGCCATGCTCCAGCCATCCATAACTAAATCCCCTTACTGTCTAAAAGGGACCCAAACTGCCTATTAGAGTGTTATAAACCAGCTCCTGGATAACAGCAGGGATTTCTTTGGGACAGTGCTGATGCCTTGGGCTAAAAACAAGTCAGTGGCCAATTTAATAGCAAAACAAAATTAATAAACTCCTATTCTAAATGACTGGACATCAAGCCAACTCTTTGCAAAGGTTTCCAGACCCTTCAGCAGAATCAAGCAGTGAATTTTTACATTAAAACTATGCAAAAGCCCTTTTTACAGCACACAGCCAAGTGGTGTTTTGTTTCTTTAAATTTCACTGGGAATTTTTAGGAGGAAATTAGAAGCTGATAACTACTAGGGAATTTTAGGAGGAAGAAAAATGAAAGCTGTGTTTGCACAGGTTTGTGCATTTGGAAATAGCTGAGTTTCACACGCCTCTGGCTCTTATGTTGGATTCCAGCTACTGCAGTTTACTACTTTGTCTTTTGGCTTAAGTGCGCACTTAACTTTTTTTGTCCACTAACTGCAAAAAAAACCCAACAAAAAAACAAACCAAAACTCTTCTCTTGACACAATCTCTCCCATTTTTATCCTTTTTAAATTTCTTCCAGTGACACCCCACCCCCAGCTTTGGTGTGCCTGCTTAGGGAGGAAGAGTCCTCTGCTTTCTTGGTGAGCAGAGCCGGGATTGTGTGTGACACATGAGCAGAGTGCAGAAAAAAATGAAATGTGTGAAATTGCCTTCCAGTCCTGACCTGGAGGGACTGTCCAGAGACTGGAAAAGTCCACACACACAATGTTAATTCATCTTCCCTGCTCACTGTATGAAGACTGTCATCAGGAGTACCAGTCTGTCCCAGCTGAGTGATGTGCCATTTATCTGCTCAGAAGTGAGTCTAACAAGTCATTTTATGTAGCCTAGGAAAGCAAATACACATCTAGTGAAAACAATATCCAACTTCTTCACCATCCCTGGAAGTGTTTAAGACCAGGCTGGACAGCACTCAGAGTAACCTGAGGTAGTGGAAGGTGTTCCTGCCCATGTCAACAGGGTTGGAACTAGGTGATATTTAAGTTCCCTTCATTCAGGTCACACCAAGCTATGATTCTATGATTCTGTATCCTGAGTCAAATTTAAACCAACAACCTAAAGTAAAGCACTTGCTATCTCGTTATAAATACTCTCGAAGACATTCAAGACCATTGCAAGTCCCTTTGGTCCTCTCTCTGCTTTTAGAATTATATTATCTTCTTATTCTGGGTGTATTTAGGCACATTCAAGACCTTTGATATGAATCTATCAATCAGACCTGTCACTCTGTGTTGTCTTTCAGATCAAAACTAGAAGTGGGAGCTTTTCCATTGACTGCACAAAAGGAAATGTTGATCCCTCTTATGACACAATCCTTTCTTTCTCTTTCTTTACTTTTTGACAGGGAAGAAACTCCTTCTGAGTGATATCTCTTGTTTAGTCCCATCTTTGAACCAGGTTACTGCTTCAACTGGTTATACTGGCTGGCTGTGACTGTCAGTCATTTCAGATGAAGCCCTGTCTGCTTCTTTGGTTCAGAAGTGGAAGGCTCTGAAGACTCAGAGTATAAAATTGAAGAGTCTTTGAACTCAGTCTGATTATCCTCTTTTCCTTTTCTCTTCTTTTAACAATGAATGAGAAATACAACAGTTTCTCACACACAAGCATCTTTATAGTGTTTCTCTCTGGTACCACCACACAGCACTGCTGATTGTTGTAGATGAAGAAGGATAGCCCAGTGTGCAGGTAACCTTTCTTAACTGGCCTAACTAGTTTGAAAAACAATCTCTTTATAGTCTGGAAATTATTTTGTTTTTCATTCTTTTTGTACTTTATATCTCTTTTTTCAAATACCAGAGTAATGAAGGAGAAGATGGTGGTGAGGCCCTGGCACAGGTTGCCCAGTGAAGCTGTGGCTGCCCCATCCCTCGAAGTGTTCAAGACCAGGTTGGACTGGGCTTGGAGCAACCTGGGATAGTGGAAGGTGTCCCTGTCCATGGCAGAGGGATGGAATGAGATGATCTTTAAGCTCCTTATCAAATTAAACCATCCTGTGTTGCCATAATTCCAATATAGTTTGCAATAGGGTTTTTTTTGTTTGGTTGGTTGTTCTGGTTTTGGTTCCCCCCCCCAAAAAAAACCCAAACTCACAGATGCTGAAACTATTAATTAAATTGTTTCAATCTCAAATTTTTTTTTGAAAGATACTCTTGTCTTGACACCAGATGAGTGTATTTCTACATTTTGGAAGAGCAATGCCAAAGAAAGACTTAATAAAAAAGTGTGTTATTTTCCTATTTTCAGAGTTGAATTTTGGGGATCTGAAAGGATTATTCTACCTTTCTGAGACCTTAACTTGGTCCTGAGCAATGGAAAAGTTCAGTCACTGGTAGAATCTCAAGATCCTCATTGCTGTATACATTGGTACGACAACACAAGCGAAGGCACGGATGACACACAGAAAAAGATTTTATTTTTAACACGCTTTTATTATGCTTTCATTTCTTCAAACTTGTGGAGATCATCTGAATATAGGAATGCAAGCTTGGTAATTTCTGAATTGGAAGCAAAAGTTCATCTATCTGAACATCACCTGGTCATCTTGACCATGCCGGGGGGTGAATATCTCAGGGACAGCAGTGGGGTGCACACAGTGAGCACACCATGTACTTCCAACTTCCAATGAATTTTGGATTCAGGCTGAACCAGGTTTGCAACTTGATTGGTAATAGCTCAGTGACTTTCTCTTTCAGGAGCTTCTTCATTCAGTCCCTGTAGGCTTTTAGAATCCAAAGCTCTCTGCAGCCAAACCAAAGTATTCACTACTCAGTTCTATTGTGTGTGAAAAACCTTCTGTGGTAGTAAAGCTGTGCTGATAAATTAGGTGGTAGGTGGTTGAGAGCACTTCTGTGCATACACAGAGAAACACCCTTCTCCACTGAAAATCTCTCAATTTTTAGAAGATTATAATTTCTTCCATATGGACGGGTCAATGCCAGCCATGTCCTTTCTTCTCTCCCTTCCAGTTTCAATGTACAGTAAAAAAAGAGCTGAGTAGATCAGCTCAAGCTGTGGGTGCCTACCTGAACTATCCTGCTTTGTGAATGAATTTCTAATTTATCCTGGTTTCTCTCAGGAAACATGGATTCACATATAGGTCTCCTCCTTCAAAAAGAAGAGAAAGACATTTGTCATGTACCTGTCTCCAAATTTGTGTCATACAAAGGTCTTTCTTTTGACTTTAAAAGTTTTTAAATAGGATTTGGGGTTGAAATTCTCAGCATCAGCGCATCTTAAAATCAGTCTCACCTTGCAGACTGAGGTGCCTAAATTTCCTGTGCAACAATAATTAATTCTGCTTAACTTGG